TTCAGGATCCTCTTCCGATTCTAGTTCTAGCAGCCCTGGTTCTGCTAATGATGATGAAGCTGCTTCTGACCCAGACTCAGCTTCAGGGGATGGGCCACGACCAGGACATTCACATTCGACAGCTCTCTTGAGCGCAACGTTCTTTTGGAAAGGGTGTCGGTTCACGATGCTGAAGTCAGGCGGCAAGCATGTTGGATGGGAAGCAACGTGTCGAGACCCAAAACACCGAGAGGACACAGCATGTAGGCGGAGCTTGAGATTTGCGCGGCACGGTGGCAGGGAAAATGTTCTTCGCAAGCTGAAATGGTGGCTTCTGGAGAGCTACGATTATGACACCAGGAAGGATCATGTCACCACATGTCCTTGGGTTCCCTTGCTTGGCGAGGACTATTTGCCTTCCACTACCGAATTGGAGCGTCGCAACTTGCGCTATGACGCTGGTGATGTGGCAGCTGCAGAGGTACCGCTTCCAAAGGCGAAGAGCAAGGCTAAGGCTAAGGTCAAGGCAGCGCCCAAGGCAGCAAAATCGAAACCCAAGGCTAGACCGAGAGAGCCTGAGGCTGAGGCCGAGGGTCCCGAGCCATCAAGCTCTTCCCGGCCTCGCCGCAGCATCTGACTTTGTGCCATCTGGCCATTTGGGNNCTCAGTCCATGTTCAGTAAGCTACGGGTACAGTTTTCAAAGCCCGCAAAAGGGTGCCTCCCTCGTAGTTGCAAGCTGGTTCTTGCTCTTACTGTGCTGGCAGGTGTTGGCAGTGGCTTCCACTTCATGGGCTCCATGGTGTGTTCCTTCCATGTGAGGCTCCGCAGATGATGTGCACGAAGGGCAGGGTGGTAAGAGTGTGAGCACCTAAAGTGAGCAGTGCAGGGGGTTGTACTTTGTAGTTTGTGGTGATAGTGTCGTGTATTGTTGTTGGCTTTCTCAACATATTTGGCATACCACTTCTTCCTTTTTGACCCGAGGCGTATCTGTTTTTGGCACAATCAACCAGTTTTTGCAGACTCCCACCCAACGCCACATGCCCCCAATGTGCCTTCAGGTGCCTGCTACTGCGTGGTGTTCGACTTCGGCGTCCTTCTTGATGGCGTGTTTTCTCCAGGGCGCCTCAGTCAACTCACTAGTGCAGGGCAGGGTTGCGTAAACGCCTTTTGCAGCATTGGGGCGCAGTTGACATGTTCACCTAAGGTTAATATAATCCTTGTGCGCAGCTATCCACCGTGCTTGCTTTCTGACTTTCTGCGTAGAAGCACTAAACCAATGCAAGCCCAGTCCCGGAGCCGGCCTGGAGCAGACCCCCAACAAGCCCCAAGCCCAAAAACCCAAGACCCCCAATGCCCTAAATGCCCTCAGGTGCTGTCTTGGACTTTGACTTCGGCGTCTTCGAGTTCGCTGCTGCTTCCTTGTCGAGGCCCTCTGGATGCGATGATGATACCGAGACTAATAATGGTAACGACAGTCGTCCGATATTAGAGTAGGGACGCGGGTTTAGTTGGTGGTTGTAACGCTGACAGAACTTTCTATCACGACTGTTGAGCTTGGTGCTGAATTTGATGATCCTGTATTAACTGGTAAAACCCTAAAACCCTAAACCCTAAACCTTAAACAAGCGGAGCCCAACCCACGCCTTCAGGTGCCATGGTGATTGTCTTCGGCCGCTTCTGTCTTTGGCAAGGCATTAGAGATGACAAGTGGGTTGAGTTTCCATTCAGTTTTGGCCACATGAGCTAGAGTCAAAATTCCTTAGAGGGGTTATATAGTATTCTAAAATATACTATCAAGGAGATTATGCAAGGGACTACTAGTGGGATTATTAAGGGGAGTACTGGGGGTTTAGACTGTGGCTCATATGGCAAAAAAAACCTTGGTAATGTATGGTCCCTTTGGCCTTCAAACTTCAAAGCGTGCAGTCTTACGGGTGGCTTGCTTCACACATTCTCACAGCTTATGGTTGGGGTGGCAAAAAGACCTTGTGGAGCATTGTGTGGTTATGGTTTCCGGCTACGTGCTAAGTACGGGTTGTGGTGTATGTAGTATGTTGTATACAGGACTTGGGGTTTATTTGGGGTCTTGCGAGCACTTAAATTAACTGCGCGATCCATTTCGCTGTTTGCTCTATCTGGGGTCTGTTTGGGGTCTATTGGAGGTCGATCGAACAGTTAATATTTAACTGTTCGATCTATTTCATTGTTTGGGGTCTATTCGGGCTCTTTCCTGACTGACTCCTCACAAGTGTGCTGGCATTTACAGATATAATCACAAAGGGGTTTCAACCGACATGTTATTCCTTTAGCCAAAGCAACGCAACCCCAAAGCAGTGCTGAAGGCCTTGGAGCACGAAAT